TCTACTGCTTCAAAAGTTGAGTCTCAAATCGACTTTTATACAGAATGGAAGGCTTGACAGAGCTTTGAGGTTACAAGGACTCATAAACTTGGAAATCATTTAGGTTCGTACCAAATTTCTATCAAGATTCTTTCCAAGAACGTTTTCTTTGAGACTCTGCGTCAAAAGCTCTTTGTTTTCGCTCAAGTTATCTCATATGGCGCCGCGTTATGGAGTAAACCTATGCCGCATTTCCTGTGGTATATCCTGAAAGTCCTTAGCGTTGCGTCGCTCCTGATTCAGAATGCCGAGGAGCTAGCGCTACCGAGGGGATTGGGCCCTTTTTCTTATCCTCCAGAAATAAAGAGATCAAAATGTGAATGATAAACACAATTCAAGGGCGAATTGTATATAGAATATGAGCAAGAAGTGCTGCAAAGCAAGCCGAGAGAGAGATTAAAACTTGAGGAAGTTACTTTCTTTTAGAAAGTCATTAACTAAAAATTTTTATCCTTTTTCTCTACTGATTCCCGTGTTCCACTTTTCTTGAACACTTTTAACTCAAATCCAGCATCGAATCATTCCATAATCAGCCTTTGATTCATCCCCAGAGCTCATCTGTTTTTTTTTTGATCTTTTAAATTGCAGTAATCTTTGTTTTCTTTATTGCGTTTATAGAGTTTGAACATATGAGGTCGTAGTAATAGGGAATGGGTCAACTCGCTGGCAGGAGCAGGGCTATTTCTGCGGCTGCAATTGAAAGCGACGCACGCAAATGACTTTCAGGATATACCGCAGAAAAATGCGGCGGTCAGCAGAATTGTGGGCGCGGCCGAACCTTCAGCAAGCGGCACTTTTTTGTCGCATATTCTGCCAACGAGAAGCAATACAGCATTTTCTGCAAATAGTTTCTTCCAGCGAGCATTGGCCAAACTTCTAGAAAGCGCTCGGACTCTTTTCATGCAGTTACGGACGTACGCCGAGCAAAGGTGAGACTTTATGTGGCAGGGGTGTCATCGATGGTTTAATTACCCGAGTTTGGGGAACTGTCTTCCAGCGGAAGGTACCCTGGGCAGTGCGGTCCTTCACAAAGGACCGTGCGGCCCCAACAGTTTTGCATGTTCTTGCGGATCACCTTATTCAAAGAAAGACTGCGATAGGTCTAAGAGCGTTCGTCTAAAAATTAACCATAATTATTCCAAATTTCTGCAAGCGGACCGCAAAAAATTAGCGAACTATTTTTCCGGTGCCCGTTTGCTCAAAATTCGCATGGCCGCCCGTCTCCGGCAATTATCTGAGTACTCATTCCAAAAGCTACTTTATATAAGATTGGTGACTTTGAAAGAAAAAAACGTTTTGTAGATGAACAAGTGCATGTTTGAATCAATTAGCGAACTCAGTTTGGCCTGATATTCGCCGTGAGGACGATAGCCACTTAAGCGGACTTCTGAGCAAAAATCTCCTCGATTTATCAAGCGAAATTAGGGCAAATCGACATGCTACGCAACCATTGCTTTTGGAAAGAATTAAAAGTTTTGGTGACTTTTTGGGATTACGTCGACAGCCTGCAAATAGATATGTCAAACATATTCGCGATTTTATGAGAACTCTAACAAGGGAAGGAAGGTTGGTCGAAGTGGCCTTTTGAAGTGAGGTGTATACTGCCTTGTAGAGCTTGGAACGCTGATTCCAAATCTACCTTTGCTATCTGCTGCGGGCTTCAGGGCAAGGAGTTATGAAGGTTTTTTGTGAGTAAAAATCTGAATGCAAAAATAGGGTAAAATCAGTTGTTACCTTTCCCTAATGTTCAAATGAGGCAGCAGCGAACTGGTATATTTAAATCAAGATTATTTGTTGCACCGAGTGACCCGACTACCAATTAAGCCCTTTAAAAAATGTTACGACTGATTTTAGCCTACTCTTGCATTCAGATTTTTACTCACAAAAACCTTCATAACTCCTTGCCCTGAAGCCCGCAGCAGATAGCAAAGGTAGAATTGGAATCAGCGTTCCAAGCTCTACAAGGCAGTATACATCTCATTTCAAAAGGCCACTTCGACTAACCTTCCTTTCCTTGTAAGTATGACTCCAGTTTCGCGGCCCAAAAGCGCGTGGACACTTTTGATGCGCAGTTTTCGTAGGTTCCAACAGCAGCTCCGCTCGTGCTATTGGTTTCTAGACCTACAAGCTGATAGCGCTCGCCATGCACTATTTGGCTCAAGACGTATGCTGCTACTCACTCTATAAATTTTGTGGCAAATAGATATACACACAAACAGATAAAAGCAGACGGTTAGCGCTTTATTGTTAAGAAAGGCTGCGTTCATACTGATTTAGAAGTTCGAGAACAGCTCCAACACAGTTCTCAAAACTGAGCGATGTGCTGGAGCTGCGCTGGAGCTGGAGCTGCTGGAATGTTTCTGAACTTACGGATCAGTTTAAACAGCGAGCGAGCGCTCTTCACGAGCGCTTTCTTTGTTGCTTTTTGAATGCCTGGGACGATTGATCTCATACTAACCGTTTTCATAGTTAAAATAATACACTTTAAGTGTAAAGGTAAAGACAAGGATAAAGATAAAAGATAGAGAAGATGGGTGATACATTGCTGGGAAGGGTGAGCATTGGCTCGATGCTACTGCAGCTTCAAGAAAGGGGATATGACAATAAGAATTAAGGCACATAAATCAATATCTCTGAGTTCCTGTTTGTTTTGTTTCTGTTTTTTTGTTTGTCTGAGTTGTGCAGTGTACGTAATAAATCAGAAAGTTTCCCGATTTTTCGAAGCTTCTCGAAGGATTGCTGAGAGAAGTGGCAGGAAACTGCTGGAATGATAGAGCTACTTGTAAAAGAATTTCTGTATTGCCACATATTTGTCGTTGACCAGAAAGCTATAAAATGTGGAAGAACGGAGGCGCCTTATTATTTTTCTAACACCCTCATAGGAATTTTGTGCAAGTACAAGTTTTTCTGACCTCAAAAAAAGAAAACCGGTTAGGATGACAATTTAAAGTGGTCCAAAAGCTTACCTCTGATCAGTTATTCTCGAGCTTTTGCTTATAAAAACGAAATTTTTGCTCAATATGAATACAATGAAAAACCCAATTCCGTCTAGCAACATGAACTTAAGAATGTTAAGAAGATTGCTCATATTAGTTTGTTCTCGATTTTGCATTGTTAGCAAATCTGAAGCAACGCAGACGGCGGTTCTAATTTTGGCGCACAGCTTTATTAGGCGAGCCGATAGGACTGTCGTTCTATAGAGTAATCGTTCTAACAGCAAGAGATTCTGTATCTCTGCGGAATGTATAACATCTGACAACTAACAAAAGCGGCATTAAAGTAGAAGCTTAACCATCTATATTAACAGTAGGAGTTGACCTTTAAGTATGTGTGTACTATTCCAAAAGAATGCATGTACTGTTTACCCGTTAATAGCTTCCTTCTCTAAAGAACTTTCGGTAACATTCTTTGAAGCTGGCTTCAACTTGTTTACAGTTTGAGCGAATACTAACCGTTCTACCCTATTGTAGGATCTGAGCTACTACGGACTCCACGTTCTGTTTCAGTGAGAGTACGCCAAATAAACCAGAACTGTACTCTAGATAATCGGAGTCGCTGACCCCAAACGTTATTTTTGCACTTTATAATAATGCTTCTTTGAAGTTATGACAGGTAAACCGTAGCAGCCGTCGAAATTCCTCAAATTTATCGCGGCATTCAAAAGTTTTGAAATTTCGTCAAATATCGTATGGTGAAGTGAGAAAGAGTGAAAACATCGATAACTTTCTAGCCTTTCGGATTTTTTCTTAAAGGGATATAATGCATGACGACAGTTGCGGCGAACCTACATGCTACAAAATTAAGTTGAAACCAGTTCTGCTTTGCAAGAATAAGATTTGTCAAACAGGGTGTCATAGTTTAGGGACACCCTACTTAACACCTGTTTTAAAAACCTAAGCAAACATAGGCAAATTTCCGGGGCTTGTCTCAATCTTTAAAACCTTCAAAACATTTCTTTATGTTCAACTCTGCTGTGCCGAGTTGAAAGAAGTTGAACACTTTAACAATGAAATGAAAAAGGCAAATCATTAGAAAACATCACTTTATTTCCCCCTCAAAACGACTGCCAGCTTGCCCATGTGCTGAAGCAATTCAATCGAAATCACTGTGCAAGCGCTTGACTATAAGGTCAGGCTTGAGCCTTCAGAAGTTTTGCGATGCACCGTAATTTTTTGCCTCAATAACAAAGTCCAGCAACACTTCATAGGCTTGTACTGTTCTGACTTATAAATCCATGATGATTCAGTAGTGTTGCGATTAGGATCGGTACTCATAAATAAAGAATAAACACTTTCTGATAAAAAACGAATATAAGCAGTTCCATTTTTAAGTTAAACTCTCCCGAAATCACTGAGTTGATAACACATGCTCACGCGTTCTACTCACATGCTCTATTTATTTATTGTTGTCTTAGACTCAAACGCATGATTGAAAGTGCTTTAACCAGAACTCTTTTTTAAACAGCATATAGGTCCACATAGATAAGTACATTTTGAGAAATATGAACAGCCGAAGTCAGTGGCTGTCTGTTCTACTACATAGCTTTTAGGGTCAAACGAATAGTATCAATTTTTTATAAGTTTCTTAGGGTCAAACGAAGAAGTATTAGTTTTTTATAAGTTGTAGTTCGTAAAGTCAAATGAGATGGATTGATTCCTGGTCCTCACTGGGATAGCGAATTCATGATACAGTATGTATTGGCAATGTGCTCCCTTTCCAATTAGCTCAAGCGCAACGCTAGAGCTTGTGCCGGTTACCGCTTGGACCTTGATATTCGCCGCAGCAATCGGAGACGCTGCGCAGTGCCTATGTGCTGCAAATGCGCAGGCGCTACGGAAATGGGAGCGTGTTGACGCAGATTGTAGACTGTTTTTGGTCAGAAGTGGCGGAATTGCACAAGTACACAATAAGCGATAAGCTTTTGGAATTTTGATACAATGTGGAAAAAAGTAAGTGGTCACCTTCATAGTGCAGAAACCAAGGGGATTTATGTTTTTTCCTAGGAATCTTTTGCTATAGTTGCACTCCTTGTGCCACAAATGTGTGCCGCGTGGGCTTTCTGCTATATTGAGCTGGCGCATTAGAGCTGAAAAGTGGTAATACGTTGAAATGTTTTGTAAGACTAAAGATTACATACTCATATTCCACGCAGCATCTTCCACATTCACTTGGTCGTAGTCGAATCTAATTGGCTTCATTATGTCTACCTCGCTCGGCAACAGACTTAGAAGTATACAGCCGGCAAGCAAAGAAAATAACAACGTGATGATCGCAAGCGGCGGCCACCGCAAGTAATTTCTTTCGTAATACTGGTAGGTAAGCACAGCAATAATAGACGAAACAATTACTCCAACAAAGGGACCTAAGTTGAGAATCAGCTGTGCGACCTTTGGAAAGTTTCCAAAAAATGTTGAGGAAGTGCAAAACCAAAAAACGAAACAATTTCTTCCTTTCCTTGCATTCAACAGCTTGAGGATTGCTAAAATTGAGCCCTCGTCAAAATTTCTTTGAAGAATGGTGACTTTTCTCTAACAAGGGAACGATACTTGGTGTCAGTGGCCTTTTGAGATGAGATGTATAACATTACACTCGTCTTGGAGCGCTGATTCCGAATCTGACTTCCGTTTTTGCTAATCGTTTCTCGGAAAAAAAGTTATGAAGATTTTCGCGCCAAAGGAGATGTGGTCGAAATTCCAAAACCGCCGCTAAGATGTGGTGTAGTGGCTAGTGAGATAGCCTCGCAAAACAAGACAAATTTAGGTTTAAGTCCTTTTGTATTTTTAAGTTTTGTACTGCCTCAAACACTTCTTTTAAAAGTTAGGCATCCTCAACCGTAATCCTTTTAGGCAACCATTGACGCAAAAATCCTTCTTATCTTCTTTGAGAGAAAAGATTAGCAGAAACGGAAGTCAGTTTCGGAATCAGCGTCCCAAGGCGAATGTGATGGTATACCAATCATCTCAAAAGGCCACGGACACCAAGTATCGTTTCCTTGTAAGAAGTATTTATGGGAAAAATAAAAAAGCTTATTTATCTATACCGTTCCAGTAGAAAATGGAACTTGTTATTGACTCTAATATAAGCATCCGCCAAACCTAATTCTCAGATTGATCACATCTCTCTCTCTCTCTATATATATATATACTAGATGGCAAACCCGGCTCCGCCCGGGGCCAAACTTTGCACACATACACTTCGGGGCAGGGAGCGTGTCATAGTCCACTTTTCGTTATCGATCGATAACGAAAAGTAGCCTATGACACGCTCCCTGCCCCGAAGTATATGTGTGCCAAGTTTGGTCCCGATCGATTCAAAAATAAAAATTTCTATTCCGCACATACGTACAGACAGACAGACATACATACAGACAGACATTCAGCTTTATATATAAGATATATATATTAGTGGCGTACCCAGGATTTCGGCTCGGAGGGGGCGCGGCAAAAATTTTTTTCAAATGAAGATGCGTGGCGTTAGCCACGCACTCCGAAAATTTTTTAAAGGGGTTCTCAAAATTCCTGCGGGATTTACAACTCATGTAAGTAACTTTCAAAGGTATCGCGACCCGTTCTCGGGTCGGTACGCCACTGATATATATATAACGCAGAAAATCTGTGAGTTTGTGTGTTTGTGCATATTCGGGTGCAGGTTGCGCAGTTTGTGCAGGTTATGCAGGGTGTTCACCGTGGGGTGTGCAGGGTGTGCAGGGTGGGGAGGGGGGGGGGGTAAGTGAACATGCTGATTCGAATGCACTATTGACAG